TTTATTGTAAAGATACTATACAGAGGGTTACAGTTACATGAGTGAGGTAATGAGTACACTTCCTCTTGAACATTGTTAGCCCCTCCATTGTTTTTTATATATTTTTTGACAAATCATATTGTAACTCTTTTGTACAAAAAAGAACTACTTGTATTCTAGAAGAAATATGAAATGCTTAATTTATAAGCAGGCTGGAGATTTTTTCCAATATTGTTTTCTTTGAAAATGAAAGTGTATCATCTATTTTAGTTTTGGGGTCTGGGAACTTTTTGAAAATTTTAATTTGTGGACCAATGTTTTGTGAAAGCTAAGGATGAGCAGGGGTAAAACAGGGCTTGAATCTCTCACTTTACATAGACCAGCACACTTCCCTCTGCAAATCTGAGAACGTCTGCACCACAAACTCTAGTTTGCTTTGGCCCCTGTAACCTCAGGACTTGGCTTGAATATGAAAGATAGACAGCTGATATGTTTTCATTGCATAAATATTGTCAGCCAGAAAACACTTGGTGTCAGGTAATGCATATTTTTTAGCTTTGTTTTATATTTATTTTTCATTTAGTTTTTATTGGGAATGGTTTTCAAAAGAATTCTCAGTTCTGCTTAGGTGTTTTTTGGGGAATCCTCTTTTCCATAGTGTAATTCCATTTAAGAGGTTGTCTGAAAGTCTTTCATCCATAGGAAGATTTTAATATCTGAAAACAGTGAAATTAATACAAACCTCCTGTAGTTTGCTATGACAGAAGCACAGAAAGGACCACCTTTGAAATCATGTGACATTGGTCATTTCAATTTTTGTACCTGGAACAGCACCCTGGCCCTGTACTTATTTATATTCTGTTAATGTATTTACTTCATTGTAAATATTTTTGAGGGTACCCTTGTATTTTGCTTTTGACTTGGTTCTGTGATGCGGATGTCAACAACTTCCCTAAAAAGCACCAGTATGTTAAGTTCTAACATCAAGATCCCAATATGTGTTATTCATCTTTAATTCTGTTTTCAGTCTTTATGTGTACAGCAGTATTTTTAATAAGGAATTACAGAGATAAAAAAATTCAGTATGTGAAAAGAATTCCTCCAAAGTAATATATACTCATAAATAATTACTAACAAATATTTAGAAGCTTAAAGGTTTGAGCTTACCATCTAACAGAGACTGAAAATCGACCTCAGCAATCTTCCTGTTGGCCTGGTCCAGGAAAGGAATACCAGCTAAGAAGAACCAGACAAGAACAGTTACTTGTGGTTAGTATTTCTCCGTCTTTTAGACTTCTCTTTCAGGTAGGTGAGGTTTTTCCTAAGCAGTTGAAAGTTTATCCTTGACCCATATTATTCTCTGTTTACAGTGATAGCTCCCAAGATTGTTCAGCTACATTTGTTTGGTAGGCCTTTGAAAGACATTAAAGGAATTTACACACAGCTATAGTTGTTAAGGTCCCTTTCTTTTTTAGCCTAACTTCTATTTAAAAGTAATCCTTTCCAGGAATTATATAAGGAAGTTGGGTGCCAGTTGTTTATTCCCATATCCTAGCTACTTAGGAGACTGAGAACTGAGGATCACAGTGCAAAGCCAGCCCAGTCCTTCAGTTTAAGCCTTAGAATTTGCACAAAAATTAAAACATAAATAAAATGCTCACTCCAGATCCTAGTGTTATCTCCTGTCCTCCAAATTCAGACTTTTTTCCTCTTTGTTAAATGCTTTAAGCATTTTCTGTGTTAAGTTCTGCAAATACTACAATGAGAAAACAGCCATGATCAAACCACCTTCTCAAGAAGTCTTACAATCTAGGAAGACATGCAGATAATCACAAGAATAAATCCACAGGACGATATATCATGGTAAATGGTATTAAGGAAAACTGTGGAGAGCAGTGACAAGGTAACAGGAGGGCATGTGGAAAGTGCCGCGAGGATTTGAAACAGGAGACGCCATGCCACGTGTGTCGCTGTGATCGAGTGCTGTGTCCTGTCTCCTGGCTCATCTCTAATCATCCATTGGAGCTGAACTGGCTTCTTGGTATTGTTTTTGCTATTTCTTTCCTCTTTAGCATGTTTCCTAGCTGTGTTATATGTATTTGTATGCTGTGGGACTTTGTAACAACTGGCGGCCTGCAGTCTGTTAACTGTAATAGTAAAGACTCCAATATTGTATATTTTATTTTATTTTTTTGGGGTCCGGTCG